GTAATTACTCTTAAACGTCTATTAACATTTATCTATGTCATTAGTTATGGTAGAGATCAAAGCTGCTCATTATGGTTGTGTTACCTTCTCAATATCTTTCTAGTTTCAGAGCATATAATTACGTCTTTGTCGTAAGATGAATTTTTTGTAAGTTGCGTGACGTAATTTACTGACATCTCAGGAACTTAAAGAACCGTGTATGAGATTCCAATACTTGCACGAGCGGCCGGCATGGCCAGGTGGTTAGGGCGCTCGACTCGCAATATGAGGGTCGCGGGTTCGAATCCCCGTCCCACCAAACATGCTCGCCCTTTCAGCCGAGGGGGCGTTATAATGTGACGGTCAATCCCACTATTCGTTGGCGGTGGGTGGGGATGACTAGCTGCCTACCCCTCTAGTCTTACGCTGCTAAATTAGGGACGGCTAGTGCAGATAGCCCTCGTGTAGCTTTGCGCGAAATTCAAAACAAACCAAACAAACTTGCACGTGTACAGAGCGTTAACTGTTGCTTACTTTTTGATCTACCAGAATTGTGGTGGAAATTTCCGGGCTTAGAAACGTGAAATAGGTGTAAGGAAATCTTTGAAATGGTATACACACAACAAATATTACCGTAATATTTGAAATGGTATACATACAACAAATATTACCGTAATCTTTGAAATGGTATACATACAACAAATATTACCGTAATCTTTGAAATGGTATACATACAACAAATATTACCGTAATCTTTGAAATGGTATACATACAACAAATATTACCGTAATCTTTGATATGGTATACATACAACAAATATTACCGTAATCTTTGATATGGTATACATACAACAAATATTACCGTAATCTTTGAAATGGTATACATACAACAAATATTACCGTAATCTTTGAAATGGTATACATACAACAAATATTACCGTAATCTTTGAAATGGTATACATACAACAAATATTACCGTAATCTTTGAAATGGTATACATACAACAAATATTACCGTAATCTTTGAAATGGTATACATACAACAAATATTACCGTAATCTTTGATATGGTACACATACAACAAATATTACCGTAATCTTTGAAATGGAATACATACAACAAATATTACCGTAATCTTTGATATGGTATACATACAACAAATATTACCGTAATCTTTGAAATGGTATACATACAACAAATATTACCGTTTTCATTTCTTTCTTCATTTTTCTCGTTATATCGATGCATTTTTTTCTCAGACGTTTGATTGCACAGATACGACCCCTGTATATACCGATCCTGGTATAGATCGTAGAATATCTGAAGTCAGACTCAGGATTGGAACTGAGAGAAACTTGGCTAGTCCGGATGAAAGGATGAAGACTCTGTCGGTGAAAGGAAAAGAAAAAAAAAATCTCTCTCGTTAGGATTCCAGTTATTTTTCTTCCATGCATGACTTGTAACATATCAACAAGTTTGGTCATGTTTTCAATGAACATGGATCATTGTTTGCATGACTTGTAACATTTTAACAAGTTTGGTCTTGTTTTCAGTGAACACATGGATCATTGTTTGCATGACTTGTAACATTTTAACAAGTTTGGTCTTGTCTTTAGTGAACATGGATCATTGTTTCCATGACTTGTAACATTCTAACAAGTTTGGTCTTGTTTTCAGTGAACACATGGATCATTGTTTGCATGACTTGTAACATTTTAACAAGTTTGGTCTTGTTTTCAGTGAACACATGGACCATTGTTTGCATGACTTGTAACATTTTAACAAGTTTGGTCTTGTCTTTAGTGAACAATGGTCATTGTTCCTCTAAGTTAAGATTTGCGTCTTATTTAAATGAAACATTAGTTCCTGTGAAGACCGTGGGCGTGTTTGTGTATATATATATAGCATGTAAACAAACTACGAATGATATCATACCATCAACTTTATTTACCTGTGAGTAAATTTCGTTTATAGAAATCAATGTGTAAAATTAAATACGTTTAACAAATGCAGGATTATCTTATTATAAAGTTAAATATGCATACATAGAAGTCGTAAAACAAAGTTGATTATGTGCCAGTGTACACCATTTAATTTAATAGGAAATATCAACCATAACTAATTGTGATTACTCTTAAAGTTTACCTTATTAAAATAGCAACACACGAGGCCTAAAAATAAGATAGAAATTTTATGTTAAATGAGAGAATAAACCAAGAGACCTGTAAGGATCTAACGTTGCATTAAAAGGACTCCTCCTGCCCCTTCGGGGCTAAGCAGTATGGTCGAGAGCTTATAACTATAAAATTCGAGGTTCGATCCTTGCTGGGGACACACACAAAAAAAACTGCCTAGTCCATTTTGTAGCTTTGAGGTTTAACAATAATATATATATTTGGAAGGACCCTTTACAAGAACTTTGTTTGTTTACTGTTAAGCGCAAAGTTACAAAATGGGCTATCTGTGCTGTGTCCACCATGAGCATCGAAACCCGCTTTTTTTGGCGGTGTGGGCCTTCAGGTTGAGCCTCTAGGAGGTTTTTCAAGAAATTCATAGACTTCATGTAAGTCGAAAGTTCGAAATGATGAAAAATAACAACAACACTAAGCCAAGTATATGCACGTATTAACCAGAAATAATTAACCGTACATTATTAACATACTTTCTCGATTTAACATTAACGCTAGTAGGATATCTGTTGTTTTATTACATCCAAACCAAGTCACAATCAATGAAGAAACCATCATGACTCAAAGTACTTGAGTTAATTAGTCATAAAGTTTAATTATATGGTTTCAAAATCAGAAACAAATCCGAAGTCAATGCACTTTACTTACCCTTGAAGCTTTCCCGCTTGCCGTGGTGGGGGTGTACTCGTTCACTTGAATATCTTTATAATCAATCTTCCAGAGCAGGTTATCCAGTTCCCTTTCATATGCCCAGTTCCTGTGACATTCGGATAAAATTTCAATCTTTAGGTTTTGGTTTTGTTTTACATCGCTGCAAAAGGACGCCCATTTCGCTATTCGTAGTTTACAAATCTTTGTATATATATTTCATTATTGACATTTAGTTCCATATTTATTGTTTTGTAATTTCGCGGAAAGCTAAATCAGAGCTATCTGCGCTAGATGTCCACAATCTCGAAGCTAAAAAAATTAGAAAGAAGGCAGCAAATTAACAACACCGCCCGCCAACTTTTGGAATATTCTGTCATACCGAATAGTTTGATTTGACTGTTATTTTTATTATGGGCCCATAGCTCCAAAATGTTATAATGGACCCATAGCCACAAAGTGCGGAGTGCGACTTCCTGTTTAACAGCAATGGGACGCAAACGTTGAATCAGATCCACAGATTACTGGGTCCACTCATCATAGAAAAATTTTACAAATCCCTTGAACATTTTTTACAAAGTTTATAATGTTTTAAAAAAATCAAGTGAAACAAAATAGACTATTCTGAGTGATATAAAGTTCTGTCTGAATCCTAGAGGTCTCTGACTTGGGCACTTAGCCCATGTGTCATGTCAAGTGCTATTCTGATTAAAATATGGCAAATACCAACATAAATGTTAGTAGGAAGCAAGCACACTAACAAAAAGCCGAAGTTTCGTAAAAGCGAGAAAACTTCAACAACTCTTTTTAAAGTACGAATTATTATAAAATATTTTTTTTAGTAAAAGAAACAATAAAAAAAACAGGAATATCTGTGAGAATTCTTCACGCTAGAGGGAGAAGATTTAGACAGACGAGAGTGAATTTGAAAGGCGTTGTTAATAGATTGCATATGTCTAGAAAGTTTTGGATGACGTTTCTTCACGTTTGATGAAGATATGTGCTATGAGTACCAAACTTCGTCTAAAACTTCCTAGACAGATGAAGTTCATTTACAACGCCTTTGTCTAAAACTTCCTAGACAGATGAAGTTCATTTACAACGCCTTTGTCTAAAACTTCCTAGACAGATGA